CACCGGAATCGAAGGAGATTGCATGAATGTTTGAGCAAAGTCAATCGACAGCTGGTCAAAAGGAATCTGCCGTCGTCTTCTGGTGCAACCGACCTTCGAATCTGTTCACGCAACACTTTCACTCGAAATGGAAGTGAGCTCAACACATTCTATATTTATGCTTATGTACCAATTATTTTTTGTTTTTGCAGCCAAACTAAATACAGCATGTAGGCAGAAGTTGGTTTGTATGGCTGATTTGAAGTGTCCGCTTAAAGTTTTTGAAAGGATGGTAGGAAACTGTGAGAAAGTCTGTCTTGCAACTTGACAGCTAAACTGAAAAAGAATTTCTCTTTGACAGCTTTTATCAGAAATTTAGCTCGTCAGGAGTCCATCGTGGCTTTCTATTGGGATAACTTGTCAATTTTAGGCATCTGCTGCTTTCACAGACAAACTAACTCAAACGATTCCTCCAAGCTTGGGTAGACTTGGCCTAAACCGGCTGACTCGTCAGTACTCCGCAAAAGTATTGCCAACCGTGCTCTTCGCTTGAATGTTTCCACATCATTTTCAGTCCGGCTGGACGGAACTGCAATTTCAACCTCGTTTTGGTATAATTTCCACTTTCGACAGTAATTGAAAATTGATGCTACAGGTTGCCAAGACACCGACTTGAATTCCGTCGGAGGAGCTAGTGAAGCTGGAGACTGCAATCTATTCCAGCCAGGATGAGAAAATCTTTGGAATGTAAATAATAACTTGAGGCCTACTCGAAAACTTGTGAGAAAATTCAGCCCTTTATGCATTATGCAAAGACTAGAATGCTTGTTCACATTTTAATTAAATACCTCAAAACCTGCTTACAATAAATTTAAACGATCATAGGCTAACTGTAGCTCGGAGTGTGAATGACAACCACATGGTGCCAGAAGGATAGATTCGATTTTGGCGCGAATCGAGGCCTCAATGCCTCGAGACCTGATTGGTTGCGATTGTTGGAAGGGGAGCCTTGGCAGCAGGGCTTACAAAGACAAGGTTCATCCTCTTAAATGGCTTCACGTTCACAGGCCCATGGGCCAAATCGTCACATTCTGATTGGCTCATTCTCGGCTGTGCAAAACGACTCGGTGGCGCCACTGCCCCACGAGGAATCGGGAAGACGCATTGGCAGCCGGAACCAACGAAAACGGCAGAAAGAGGAGTCTTGCCAAAGCGAAGTTGAGCTAAAATGCGACAGACACAATGGATTACATGGGATGTATTTACCAAATTTCAGTCAGGGTGATAAGGGGACTAGTAGTCGCATTTTTCCCAAATCATATGAGTAGACCTTATAGAAGTTGTTTGACATTGTTTTCGCAACTCGGTCACATTGGTAGGAAGACTTAAAGAAACGCACCTAGTCCGGAGTACATTGTATGCATCATCGTTTCCAGAATAGGACCGTGGACGTGGTACATTCCCAGACGTTTCGTCGACATCGTCAGTGAGTATCGCCATTCTTAGCACCACACAACAACTCGTCAAAGAGACAAGTGAAGCC